CTATGGCTACTGGTACTCCTTCGTGATTTAACACCTTGATGCTTACAAGGGTTTGCTGAGACACAGTGTTTATGACATAGTTGCACCTTTTGCCATCCAGCTTTCCTGTCACATAGACACTGTGTGTGCTTGGCATTTTACACCTAGCTGTAGGGACTTTCGTGATGGGGTTGGTGGGCGTCACTCAACACCAACCACTACTGGTCTCCTTGAGGCCGACTTGTTGGTAATATTCTTCCTACACTGGCTCCTCAAATGTCTGTGCTTTCCACAGTTCCAACAACCTTTGTGGATACCAGCCTTTCCTGCTGTGGCATCTCCCCTGGGTTGAAGTTGCCAGCATTGAGCTCTCTTGTGCCCAGGTTTGTTACAGTGCCAGCAAAGTCCTTCAAACCTCACTGAAAGCTGACCTTTTCTGGCATTGAATCTAGATGACTGTGCCAATCTTGGTACCTCTGTGCTGGGCTTAACGTAGGATTCAAATTCGAGAGCTCTGACCATTGCATCCTGCATGGTAGAGGGGTGTGCTTACTTCACTTGTATCTTAAGTTGTGGACTGTCCAAGGCATCTACGAACTGATTCCTCAGCAACAACTTGAAGAGATCGGGTGGTAAATAATCGGAAGGTGGACTTTCACATAGTAAGGTAGGGGAGGAATCATAGGCTATAGGGGAAACACCTAAAACATGACATACCTGATTGACAAGTTGTAAGAAGGGAGTGGGAGATGAAAAGTCTTGAATGGTGAAGCCTGTGACTGACCAAAAAAAGAAGGTGCCAAAAAATAGAGCCCAAATTTTCTCCCTCATAATGGTAGACCTCCTCAGAAACATGGTCAGGTGGATGAGGAGAGGAAATGATAAACTGAACGTAAGACTCTTAACTCCCTACAAACCAAGGCTTGAACTTCCTCAGCAGTTAAAGTCGATCCCAGGACATGTATTGTCATCTATATCAGGAATATCATTGTTCACCACATTAAATCTCGAATTGATATTAAAAATGTAGAATTCAAAAACAAGAATTTGGTTGAATTCAAAATTGTAGAAACAACTGAAAACAAACGAGAAATTTCAAAAAACTGAGAAAATGGAAAATGTAACAAAGTACAATCAAAAACTATAGTCACACTCAGAAAAATTAAACACATCTAAATTGTGTCACACCAAATGAAAAAGTTAAGAATGAGTGGGAATAGCAGAGGGAGCTAGTTGCACCATTATAGGTGGTGCAATACTGTTGGTGGAGAGTAGTCACATGATATGTACGTGTTTGTGTTCAGAAATGGCACGAAACAGTTGGGGGTATAAAAACTGGTGCACTAATTACTAAAATTCTTTTAGCAATGCTTAGAGGGCACTCAATGATTAAGATAGCTTTTTTTGTGATAAGAGGCAAATTCCCTTTGGAATTACTTTTGTCCATTATACAGTGTGCATATTACATAACCTGTAAAACCTCAAAAATTAGAAACTTAGATTAGATAAGAATAAGAACACTTAAATGAAAAAAATTAATTTCTCTTTAAGCAATAGGCACTGACATGATCAGTAGTGACAACTAGTGTGTGATTAATAGACATAACTCACTGAGTGATTTATAGTTTCATTACACTAGTTAGACATCAAGCAAAAGGTAATAAGAAAATATAATTATATGAAACAACTGTAAACAGTTATGAGTGTGACGCCGTTTACGAAAACTAACTGTAATTGTCTGTTAAAATCTGTAGTAGTTCAAGAAATTTTTTATGTTTTACTTCATACTTCTCAACTTTTGCTATAAATGATTTTGGTGCAGCTAATATTAGTTTAAACACAATAAGAGATAAAATATAGGTTTACCAAAAAAAAGTTTTTATATTCATTTAGAAGGTTCTAGAGGCTACACAAAGGAAATCTGAAAACTGTAAGTTAAAAAAAAAGTATTTTTATTCTTAACATAAAAAACACCTTGCATTTGGAATTGTCAGACTGACTCAGTAAATTTAAAGACGAATCTTTAATAAAAATAATTAATTAAAAGTTTATATTTTTCATATACAACATACTTGTAATGTTTACTAAAAGCCTGCCAAACTTCTTGAAGATACACACATTAAATATGGAATTATAGTAAACATTGTTTTGTATAGCTTATGTATGTATTATCATGTATTTGAGATTTAAAGAATAAAGTTCAAGAAGTGTTAGATGAGTTCAAAACCTCAATTAGTACAGTGCTTTATATACAAATTCATGAGAGGACAATATTAAAAAGATGAAATGCTACTATGCATTAACATTTCAGCAATAATTGAGAATTAAAAAACATTTAGTCATCCAAATAAGAAGAAACAAAATAAACTATAATTAACGTTACAAAAAACAGAAATAATAGCATAAAAACTATTCAAATGAAACAGATAAAATACATTTGAACTAAAGAACAAGTTTTACTGCTTTTGAAAAACCAAGTGACCAAAAGCTTACTTCTTCTAAAAACCACGTAACCAAGAAACCAAATATTATAGCATCATTTGATTCCCTATCATGCCAAGGAACTCCAATGTTACACGTGTTCCACAATTCTCGTTTCCATTCATCTAGTTTCCAAGCTGCTGACCCAATGTCAAATAAGATGACTCGTGGGTAGCCATCAATCAACCATCGTCCATATGTGACCTGTTGAATAGGAAGAAAAGGTTAATCTTAAAACAGTTTACTAAACCAAGTTGCTGAATTTTCTGATCCTACTCTCATGTTAACACAATATTCAAAAACTACAACCATAACTCAATAATTGCTGTTGACTAATAGATTTTTTATCACATATTAATCAGTTACTTTAAAACTTACCCTAATTCCACTGTTTCTAATGTTTTGCAAGGCTGTCCTGAATACACTCTCTGGTGGTTCCATACACTCCACCTCTGTGCGCACCATGGCTTCATTATGAGGTCCCATAAGACAGTACTGTTCACCAAGTTCTTCAGTGCTAATTCCAGCCTTAGATCGGATCACAGTATAAATCCCTCCCACTTGCACACACACAAAAAAAGGCATAACATTATGTTAGACACACTTTTACTACAAATCACATCTTCTTATATTATACACACCTAAAGTGTCATAGAAGTCATTAGTTGATACCTTGGGAAACAATTACTATACAATCTAGTGAACTGTAAATACAGGGCTGTAGTGTTTTTTCACTTTTCCCTATATAATATTTATCTTTACATCAGAAAAGAAGCCAAACAACCCAAATGCTTTCAGAAAAGTGGCTTTTATTCATCAGGGGTAAATTTCTTTCAATATAAAGAATGATATATATATATATATATATATATATTTTTTTTATTTTTATTTTTTTTTGCTGAACAAAAAAAATCACCTTTTGATTACAATAAACTTGTCCAACAAAATCCCAAACTGTTTAATTTTCCTAAATAGAAAATTGCTTAAACATAATTTCTGACAAAAAGTGAGGAATGATGTCATCATTGTCAATCAATTAATTGAATAAGGGAATATTTCATAGACATACACACACACTTTTGTGAAATAATAGAAGATAAAGTATATCCTACTTTTTCTATTGTAGTAAAGCATGTTAGTTTACAAGTTATTTTAATTTTCATATCAGAGGTCTTTCAGTATTTAAAATTATGTTTAAAATATTGAGTATATTTATAAAGATGCACAACAATTTACAATGGATTTCACATGCACACGCAAAGGCTAATAATTTTATTACTCAGAAACTGGCATTATCATTTACGCACGCATACTGTGGATATTGAAGAGTCTATAAAAAGACAAACTATTTAACTGTTTTTCAAAGATAAAGTCCTTGATGATAAAAAGAATCAAATTTATTTAACTGGAAACATTCAAGTGATAATACTTTTTTAATTATACATTTTATAGTACTAAAGACACTTTTTCACAAATCTGACTTAATGTTTTATATTTGTTTTACACAATTGAGCTACACTGTTCTGAATGACAAATAATAAGACTTTTTGATGGTTTAACAAATACCTTATGATATTCAGTTCCTATAGTTGATGAGTAAAATCAGTAGCATTTTAAACAATAACATATGCAAATGGTTATCAATTAAAGATAATTAATGTAATAAACACATCCACACATGCATATACTTCAAAGTTGGCTTGAAATTTTAAACAAGATGTTCACCAGCTTATTTGAGTTACAATATAAAAAAGTTCTGGATTCAAGGTCTTCCAGTTCCAAGAATGTCATGAATGAACAAAGTCCAAGACTCAAGGAATTTAAAACCCTTGCAAGGTTATAAGAAGAAGATATAGCAGGGGACAAAATAATTTGGTGGATTTGATAAGTAAAAAATGCTAATCAATATTTAATTTGATCAGCTATAAGAAAGTGTTACATAGCTTCTTTTTAACATTCATCATTTTAACATATGAGAACTAAATCCAGTACTAAAAGTCTTAAATCTTTGTAAAGATATCCATTAATGAAAAAACAGAAGAAGAGGTAAGTGGTATGTTTTTAATTTAATAACACTTTCAATCAGTTTCAAACCTTAATATTTAATTGTACCATACATGAAATTTCATAAACAAAATAGTTCCTGGTATATAAAGTAAAACATCAAAACTGCAAGAAATACCAAACACCTCAGCTGTCACAAAATAATGCAACAGTCGATTAACCAGAGAAAGAAGTGACTTGAAGATATTGCAACTGAACAAGGTTGCCATAAACCATTTTTCAAATTAATCTATCTTATTTCTATTTACTTATTTATTTTTGATGAGACCTCACTCTCTTCACAGCGTGGTCTCCTTGACTTTTTGAAGAAGAAAATGTCTAGTGACTTTTCAGCAGTAATTACCCCTCTCCCCACAAATATCCTTTATTGTGCATGTCACGAGATTTTTAGTGAGTTACATTCAAAATGTAATTAAACTACTTTTTGTTTGCTCATGTTATACCAATTAGTATAGCATAAACTTATAGTTAATAATCCATATTTTAATAGTATACAAGTCTTAAATTCTTAACTTTATAAAGCAATATTAAAAAAGGATTCTGAATTTCCCCTAGTGTGAGAAATGTGATATTTTTTCTCCAGGCATCCCCTATTATCTAATTTATTTATCACCCATCCAAGAAGTGCAAAATTTAAAGTAAATTACTTATCATAATATTGTAATCACTCAGATAAATCATAATTTTCCTAGCCTTCAATTTTGTTTGGTTACAGAGCCATCAAATAGAAAATTAGACCCTTCTTGCTATACCCACCTGTCACATCCACTTTCAGGATTTGTCAATAGTTCTCTCTTACATTTAATACTATATTATTTTTAACCTCTTGCTGCAGCATTTATTAAAATGTTGAATATATTAAACTACAGGAATAACAAGACTTCAAAAGAAAATCTTAAAAAATGGCATATGACTACAAGGTTGCACAATAGTTGCACACAAGCATGTGTGCACTGAAGGATTTAACTTCTTGCTGCAGCATTTAATAAAATGTTGAATACATTAAACTAGAGGAATGAAAATCTTAAAAAATTGCATATGACTACAACCAGAACTGCACAATTGTTTCACACAAGCACTTGTGCCCTGACGGACTTGGTTCAGACCTGAAGTTTTCAACCAGGACCTTGATCTTGAAATATGTAGTTAATTTGAATTTAACGAATATTGTTATCAACACAATGTATGAGTTTAAAGTCAATTACATCTCAGGTTACATCAATGTAACCTAAAAAAACAACAATATTTTGTGCATGCTATCTTTGAGCCCATTGAGATAGTGTAGCATTTTATTTGCCCCTGTAGAAAAACAATGTGGTAAAAGTACATGACTGTACAACCACCCGTAGTCAATCAAAACAAGCTTTGTTTCAATTACATACATTCCAGCCCTACAGATTTCCATAAAGTTTGAAAACTGTCTCTTGAAAATTTTGGACATTGTAGCCTCTGACTACAACTTACTATATAAATGAATATTTCTCTAAGTATAATTTGTGTAGAACATCTCTTATCTCCAACTTTACTGAGCTTTAACAAGAAAAAAAGTTTATTTTAAACTTTAATAATATAATTATACTCATGTTGTATGAATAAATGTATTTCCCTTGCCTGTACTACTTTTACACTGATCATCTGTGAAATGCATTTCAGTTAGTTACTCACCTCTCTGCACAACAGAGCTATTATCAGAGTTTCGATAATGAGATATATAATTATTTCTTTATTATATACAAATTTACAAGTTTTTTTTATTCACTTCACAATTTTACACTACTTATCACACTTAATTTTCAATTCTAATAAAAGTTGCCAGATTTGTCAGCAGCTTTACTAAAAATCTCTAAATGTTGAAAAATGTCACTATCACAGCGTTGTTAGATATTGGACATGGAAATCCTCATTTGGGTTATCATTCGGTCTTGTCAACATCTCTTAAGCCCTGAAACACAATTTGATTGGGGTAAAGCTGTTGCCACTTACCAGTAATACCGGTAGCAGGTTATTGAAGAGACTGATGCAATCTTGTTGTTCTTACCATACATACACAGTAAATGCCATTGAAATATTGTGCTTTATGTAACCTCAAATTACTGTATTCATATAAGCAGTTGTTTTATATAAGGTGAAATTTCTCTATAGGATTAGAACCTAAAAGAACAAACCAAAATTTACTACTACAGAGTATATATAGATTTTTGTGCACACCACAAACCTTGAATGGAATATTAATGCATACTGCACCAGCCTATGATGTAGCCATCACAGACCATAGCCCTCCACTAATAGAGGGGAACGCATCCTCCAGGAATCATCACATCTGCCTAAGGTCCCACAATAATAGACTGTGCAAGAGGATACCATGAATAGGGATAACAGGTGCTAGCCAGGTGTGAGGACATGCACACATGCCTGGTACTGTCATTTGATTTATTCTTTGCCTGAAGTATGGTTTGGAAGGTAACACACACACACACCACCACCACCATAACAAAAGTCATCAATAGACCCTGGAGAGAATACATATCTCAGATTGAGTAAACCATCCACCTGGAACCAAGGGTCATCAAGAAATTGGTTCAAAGTCAAGAGATCTATGACAGGCTACCAATTTTCTGTCTTCTTGGGAACAATAGAAAAGGAAGCAAAAACTCCCATGAGCTATGATATCCTGTACAGAAACCACAGCTTTCTCTAAGTGCCATAGGCTAATATAGTACACATTAATACACGTAGGGACTTTAATCAAGGCTTGTCGCAAACTCAAAAATCTTCACTGTAGTGGCACAAGGTAATAGCTCTTTTTTGTTCTGGGGTAAATAAATATTTCTGAAATTATCTTTTTTTACTAACCAGTTACTAAATGTTAATTAGTATCCATTATGTGTATGATAGATTTTTATTAAATATGTAAGCTGGGAAGTTAGAATCCCACGAAAGCTTCTTTTAGTTATTCAGATGAGAAATAAAGTGTAACTTATAATTAAAGAGATGTTTAATAAAACTAACAAAGGTACCCCGCAATTCCAGGATAAAATACTATAACTGGGGGTTTGATATCTCCCCCCCCCCCTCCCTTCATCAATTGAGCTATAGCACACAAAGTCACTTATATGATGCAAAGATACCCGAGTTACAAGTGGCATTAAACATTACTTTCATTTAGTGCTGGCTTCACTTATTTTACAACTGACCTTTCTCAGTTGAACCCACATATTTTATGTAGCATTAACTAAATGCACCAAAAACTGTGCATGGGGATGAAAAAACATTTGCATAAACATCCTAAAAGTTTGTTATATGCTTCTTAATTTTATAACCATACAGAAAAACTAGATTTTTTATCCATCTGTAAGATGATATAATATTCAAGCTCTAAAAGTGAAAATTTAACATCCATTTAGAAGCATAACACTATGTAAATGAGATAATGTCTTTAAGTAAGTGAAAATTCTGCCACAAAGTAATAACACGGCTATTATTTCTTATTCCTTCAAAAACATTTTGTAAAGGCCAAGTTTTGCTATTAAATATAAAATATGTAAGATGAGAAGGAAATACATAGCTAAGTGCAACAAGCTGACATTTTGTCTTTTATGTGTAGTTTCTTTACTGGGTGCCACTCTTTCTACTGACTCTTTGACATTTGGAAATGGCATAGTTCCAACCAGGTTACCATACTGATTCAATTTCTTTCCTTTCTTAAGTTCAGATGAAATACACCTTGGTAACCTTATTCATTTTATAAAGGGGTGAATACACTAGCATCTGATGCACATAGGTAATATAAAAAAAAATTCTACTAATATTCAATGACCGAAATTCAAACTTATTTTGTTGGTTTTATGCAACACTCTAATCTACTCTACTTTTCACTATATATACCCTCAATCCACAAATTTTGCCATTGAGACACAGTATAACAGAATTAATAGTTGATATTTTTAGCCCTCCAGGGAGTGATAGTTTTATACTTTTAAAACAGTTTTAGAAAAAATTGAAATAGATATGTAATTGAATAACTTGGTACACATTATAGAAGGTTAAAGAATTAAAGACACAAGCAACATGTATAAACACAGCATGCACCATAACTTCTGTAAGATATTAAATACTTGTCAAAATGAGAAATATAAAACTTATAAGAAAGTTAGTAAGAAACAGGTATGAGTTTTAAAGGCTATAATTAAAAAGTTGCTGAAATATAAGAAACTCCTGCTGATCAGGTGACTATTAGTCTGGTTTGTGTCCCTAAAGAGAAAAATGAATAGATCTAGAAAATTACAGGATTATCAAGTTGATTTCTGTTGTTGGAATCAATTAGAAAAATCATCCCAAGAGTTGGAATTTAGCAAAAAAAACCACTAAGAATAATTTTAAAATTTTGTCTTGCTGGCTTTCTATAGTTTTTGATAAAGTTTCAACATTTTTGAATGGCCATATTTTTATGTTTGTTAACTTTCCAAAAGTGGTAATTGACAATAATGATTATAACATCAGTAAAAAGGTTAAAAACAAATTGAAGTTTGGCAGTTTTAAAGGGGAACAAGTGACTTCCTTAAAAAGAATGGGTGGGTTTAAATTTCTTATTCTTCTCTCAACCTTGAAAGACCAAATGGCTATTTGTTGTCTTGTCTATATAATATGTCATTCAAATCTGTTCTTCTGCAGCAATACTTCACTGTCAGTTTACATAAAAACATAAAAAATAGAGCAGTGACAGATGTTTTTTCACCTTCCTGGTCACTCATAAAAAAAATATATTAATAAAACAGTACTGTTAAAAAACTTTACTCCAAATCTTTAAGCAAACTTAACTACAGTCCTATGGGGGGGGGGGGACCAACAAAAACAAAGATGTGGCAATTGGAATTGGACCAGAGATCCTTGAATCACCAAAGCTGAAGAAACTTGAAGGGAAAAAAAACAACCTATAAGGCTAAAATTGAGCAATGCATATAGTCCATTATGTAGCTTTGCACTTAACAGCAAATATAATAGCAGTACATCAATTAGTTGAATAATTATGATAATTTAAAGTAGTAATAATCAGAAATCCTAATTTTGGTTAATCAATTAGTTTAGGTAGCACAAACTGATATAAATGGTGCTCATAGAAAATTAATTATATTAATTAAAGAATTTAATCTCCCAGTTTTAATGTATATATCCAACAGAACTTTGAATGAATTCAAACAGAATAAATCCTATCTCAGGTCAAACCATTCCACTTATTTCTAAAGAAAGAAATAGGTTAATGTGATACCCAGTTTGAACCGCAGCATTGTAACATCATTGCTATAGTCCAAAACAAAAAATCAGGATTTTCATAGGAAAAAAAGCAAAATAGTTATAAACATATGTATATAATATACATATATACACACACAGGCTGAAACCTACCCTGAATGTGAATTAGTGCCAGGAAGCCTTTATTGACTTTGTATATATTTATCAAATATATGAGCATGAAATATAAGACAAGGTAATATTCTAAATATCAAGTATATTTTATATTAGATGTGCTTCAAATTCAATAACACTTAAGAGATACCACAATAATTTAACTTTACAGTTACACACACACACAAAGTTACTACAAAACTTAAATGCACAAGTCAAGGACACTGTTACATAATTCATAATTAGCATTATCCCTGTTCATAACTATATGAATCACATAAAACATTAAATATATAACTATAACTTTTTAATTTCATGTTTTCAATTAATTTTGAAATGCCCAACATTTTATTTTCAGTAAAAACATTTGTAATATTATTTAAATAAAAAATGGAACAAAATAATAACTTTCATTGTATTAAAAAAGTTCTTATAAGTTATAGTTTTTTATTCATCTATTGACCTATCGCGAATAAGAATCCTTGGAAGGTCACATGAAAGTAGAAATTAAATCTACCGAGCCTACATCTATGCGGTTTCACACGACCAATCTTTCATACAGTTACAAGTACCTCACCGTCACACGGGCGAGAAGTACTTGTTCCATAGCAAAGAAAAACTTAGCGCTCCTCAAATAATAATTATATTTACCTTTGTTGCAAACTTCCCACGAAGTTTCGAACACCCATCGATTTTCTGCTTCTGCAGTTGCGCCTTGGTCCAAAGTTAAGTCATCTACTCCTTCAAGACGATAAAACCTCTTTGCCATTCGCGACGCCATGCTTTCTTCTTGACTTAACCTTCAAATTATAATCCATGCAGTCTGCTAAATCTTAGGGCGACAAATTTTACAAAGGCGACATCTTTAGAATCAGCAATCATCACTTTATCGAGTCTAAATATTAAGAAATCGTGATTTTCTTTTTTTTAATGTATTTTACATATTAATGTACAGAAGAAATGCGGCCTTAAATTATATTATCATACAAATAACGACCACGAACAATAACAAATATTTATGCTAAAACAAGGCATTCTAAAAGGTAAACTTGACAGTAATTGCTAAAAATAAATAAATACGATCACCAGTGTAGGCGACAAGTTATGTACAATAAAGCAGCTGACTTTTCTCTTAAAGAAATAAACCTCGTATCTAAAAAGATTTTCTGTTCATAGTTGTTAATGGTATTAACATTAAAACCATATTTACCATTAAAAGTAATGCATAAATGTAAAATTAAAGCCTACTTATTTTCTACACAAGGGAGGTATACTCCTCCAGCCTAAGACACTGGAAGATTTCCGCTACCTCCTCCACCCTTGGTCTTCAAACCCCCTTTCACTTGCCAACCCCTAAAAGCAATGCCAGTCTCCTCACAATATTTCTCAGGAACGTCCATTCATCCTTTACGCCAGAAGAAATTCACCAAGCCATTGAAGCTACAACCAACTATACTATCCATGCAGTCCACCGTATCCCATCAAAGAAAACAGGTTCACCCTCCAATTTCATGAAAGTTGTCACAACTTCCAAGATAACCGCAGATTCCATCCTCACCCACGGCTGCTACCTGGATTACCATTACTTCAAGGCAGAAAAACCTTACAGTAAGCCTTACACACCCCCTACCTTTCCTAACTCAACCCGCAAGCCCACGTTCCACAAAATCCAAAAGAAAACCACCACAACCAGTACTCTACCGCCCATCCTATTACAATTGACCAGGCTACTCAAACTACACCCATTCCCGAATCACAAGACATGTCAACCTAAACCACCACTACAAGAAGGAAAAAAGGCACCCAGACCCAGCTGCAAGTCTTTCCAGTAACCAACGACACTTATCAGCAAACCAGTAACCCGCTTCTCAGCCCCGAGCCACTTTCTACAACATTGCCGTCAGCCTCACCAAACGCCCTAGTAATTGACACCTCCCCCGATCTCCACCTACCCGACGAACCTTACTGTGCCTTCCGCCAACGTACCAGCCACACCGAGGACTTCACACCTTTAAAACCATCCCGTAACCTATTAGCGAACATCAGGAGAACCCACAACTCTTTCAAAAGTTAATCTACCACCAGCACCGGACTTCACTTTGCCTTCCCTATTTACTTCTTCTCGCTAGCCGGGCACTGGTAAGTGATTGGTCGTTACCAGTGAAAGTGGGTTTTCTCGGGGTACTCCCGTTTTCCCCCACGTAAAATAAAATTCTTGGCATAGGATTTACAGATCCCCGCCACTTTGATGGACCATATGTCCTATATCGGCCGTTTAGTTTAGTTTAGTTTACTCTGATTTTTACTTAGTTTCCTGTTTCTCAAGCTTAGCCCATATACCTAGGCCACGAGAGGATTGCTTAATCTTCGAGCCCCTTGATAAGTAATTATTTCTTCGGAAATAATTGCTTTTAAAATCAAAATAACTGCCAGGAATGAACGAACGAACTTATTTGATATTGTTGCGTCAGCGAGGTCACGTGACTAGTATCACGCCACTCCTTCTCGAACCTTCATGAATTATCGGGAGACTACTAGATTGGGGTAGTTTGATATATATAAGACGCTAACAACGTGACGCAAGAAGTGAATGAGTAATTGAATGTATGCAGACAAAATATTGTTGGCCACGTGAGACGTGAATTATAGTGTTTGTTATAGAGCGACTGTTGAAATTAAGTGTATCGTAAAGTTGTATTCGGAAAGAATAAACCAGTTTTACTTAAGAAAGGACTTGAGTCGCTAAAGTTTCTTCGGAACGAATTTACGGAAAATTAACTAACGACTGGAGGCGTAACAAATTGGTGTCAGAAGTGGGATGAAAAAAAATGGAAACGAGAAGCGGCAAATCAAACTACAGCCTAGCAGACTTAATGGCAGCAATACAAGAACAGCAAAAGAAAGAAGAAGAACGAGAAGAGAATTTACAACAGTTATTAGAGGAAAAAGAAAAGTAACAAGAAAAACGAGAATAGAAATTACAACAGTTGTTAGAGGAAAAAAAGAAACAAGAAGAACGAGGGAATAAACAAGAAAAGAAACAAGAGAACGAGAGAATAAACAAGAAAAGAAGCAAGAAGAACGAGAAAAGAAACAAGAAGAGAGATTACAGCAGTTGCAAGAAAACCTGCAACAGAGGCAGCTCGAACAGCAAAATAAACAAGAAGAGAGATTACAACAGCTATCGGAGGAGAAAGAAAATAAACAAGAAAAGAAATTACAGCAGTTGTTGGAGGAAAAAGAAAATAAACAAGAACGAGAAAAGAAACAAGAAGAGAGATTACAGCAGTGGAAACTGGAACAAGAAAAGAAACAGGAAGAAAGTCAGCAGCAACTACAGGAAAGTCAACAACAGTGGCAAGAAGTACAAATGGAAAACATTAGTAAATTTAAAAGCGAATTAGATACATCAAAGGATGATCTATTGTCTTTTACGCAAGGAGGATACATTAACCATCGACTTAATCAGCCCCAGACAATGGCAAGCCCCTTCCATACCCCGCAGCTAAACCCTAATGTAGACATATTCAGTCCCGTTAGAAGCCATATCCCAGATATGAATGTCAGTAATAGGAGTGATCCAGTACGAAGGAAGCCACATGAATTCGTTGGGAAGGCACCCTGGGAAGCATATAGAGCACAATTTGAGCTACTGGCAGAAAGGAATGGATGGACAGAGGAGCAGAAAGCAGTATATCTGGCAACGAGCTTGAAGGGACAACAACTGGAAATACTTGGACAGTTGTCAGCAGACGACAGACACAACTATAGAGCACTGGTAGCGGCTCTAGAACTCAGGTACGGAACCCAAAATCAGTCGGAAGTCTACAGGGCTAGGTTTAGGACGAGAGTCCGTGCTAAAGGGGAGAGCCTGCAAGAGCTGGCACAGGACTTGGAAAGCATGGCACACAAGGCCTACCCAACTGCGGTTTTTCTTCTCCCGATATTAGTGTTCTTTTTTCAGAGATTTTCTGATTACCTACAGTCAGGTATAGGCATGCCCTGTCCCTTTCATTTGTTGGATCAGTATGCCTAGACTTATCATTGTACCTCAGATCCCTTTTTAGATTCTCAGCGTTTAAATCTTCTCTTTCCGCCATGGGTCTGGAATTCTGAGGCTTCCGTCCACTTCAATCAGCTGCAATTTTCCAGGATTCATCTTTTATGACCTCAATTTAATGCTACCTTTCCTCCCACCAATTATTGTTTGAGGCTATTCATCAGTGTCCTGATGTCTTTTCAGAAGAGCTGAGGACCCACCTTTGGGCCACGGTGGCTTGTTTATCAGCCTCTGACCTTTCCCTCAATACCTGGCTACTTTTCTTTTGGGACTTGTTATGGAGAGATGATTTACTGGATGGGGTTTGTCCTTTCCTCCCTACAAGATCTCCAACAGGCTACTTTTCTACATGATTTCATCTTTGGAGATTATCCAGATTCCTTAGAATCATGGATTGATGTAGATAGGTTATATTCCTCCTTATCCTCCCCAGCAACACATTTGTCTTGTCCTCCCATTACCTCCCAGGATTTGCCTAT